ATCAGGACAAATGTGAGGGCACTAATTCTGGGAATACACAGACTATAAAACATTTTGAAAACCACACAAACAAAAGTAGATAAAATAGATGAGTGGGACACACTAAAAATTAAAAACGTATGTGCATCTAAAGACTTCACCAGAAGAGTAACAAGGGAACCCACAGAACGGGAAAAAATCTTTTGCAATGACACATCAGACAAGGGACTCCTTTCTAAAATATACAGGAAAGTACAACACCTCTTCTAGAAAAAGACAAATAACCCAGTAAAAAAGTGGGCACAGTACATGAACAGACACTTCACTAAGGAAGAGACCTGGGCAGCTAACAAACATATGAAGAAATGTTCACGATCACTGGCCATTAGAGAGATGTAAAACAAAACAACAATGAGATACCATCTCACACCAACAATAACAGCAAAGATAAAAAATGTAGAGGACAATGAATGCTGGTGGGGATGTGGAGACTGGGACACTCCTGCATTGCTGGTGGGACTGCAAAATGGTCCAACCTCTCTGGAAAGCAATATGGTGTTATCTCAGAAGGTTGAAAATAGAAATACCTTATGATCCAGCAAATTCTTCTACTCACAAGAAAAACAAGCCACAACACGAGAAGATATATGCACACTAATGTTCATAGCAGCATTATTTACAATAGCAAAAAGATGGAGACAGCCAAAGTGCCCATCAACTGAAGAATAGATAAACTAACTGTGGTACATACACACAATGGAATATTATGCTACCTTGAAGAATAACAAGGAAGCTGCAAGCCATCGCATAACATGGATGAACCTTGAGGACATGTTGAGTGAAATTAGTCAGTCACAAAAAGAGAAATACTGCATAGGACCACTACTGTAAAAGACTAAGAAAAGAACCCATACTAAATGGGGGTGGCTGAGGGGAGGGAGGGAAAGGTAGAGCACAGGGCAGGGATTAGACACAGGAGAGTTTGGGTGCTGGGGAAGGGGGCAATATACAAGAAGGAAGAGGGGAATGGAAGAACAAAGCAGACGGAAGAACAATTAAGCAAGTATGAATGGGCTAAGTGGGAAAGAAGTAAAGAATGATGTATGTACAACCTTGGAACTACAGGGCTCTGGCATACAGAGATTCAGACATGGTAGGAATACGGAAAAGGGAGAAATAATGTTAAGATGCTTGGCTGTCTTTTGAATCTTGGTTTTCCTTGCATTATATAATAAAATAGGCACTGGAGGGGGAGAGAAAGCTTGTAAGTCCGTCTTCTGCCTATAACTGATTGGAATACCTAAAATGGGGCTACAATGTGCCCAGTGAAGGAGGCTTCCTGCGGAGCCTCTGCAGTACATAAAACTATATGTAGAAGCCTGAACCACATCCAGATCTCCAAAGATAGGAAATTTCCACTTGAAAGGACGAGCAGACCAGCCTGGAACGGCTAGAAGAACAGAAGATACTTCTTGAAAGACCTACAGGAAAAATACAAAACAATTGAGGCAGACAGACTGTTACTACAAGAACAAAAAAGCTGCTTGCCCAGGAAACATCAAGGCAAGTGGTCAGGTCCCCTCAGTGCAAACCCCCTTCCAAAATAAGACTCAATGGGAATACACACTCTGATTGGTGACCAAGCTCATCACCGATAAGGGGAAGTGAGGGAAAAACAGCAACGAAGTGGCGAACTAAGCCCTACAATGTGGAGAGTGAAGCGTTCAGCTGATAAGAAGAGATGGCATATGCACAAAAACACCCACACTTGCAGATAATACCCACTTGACCTGGTTTCAATGACTGGATGATCAGAGCTCAACCAGAAGAAGAAAGAAGAGGAAAAAAAGAGTAATCTGATACAATCTGATAAACCTGACCTACACCTATGGATGTAGGTCAAAAGAGGGAACAAATCCTTACTCACCAGCCACTCTTTTGAGACCCGATACAGGGTTGCTAGAAGTCAGAAGCGACTCGACAGCACTTAACAACAAACAAAGTGATATATTAGCTTTTAACATGATGCACAGGCAATCCCAGAGTTGAACCTGTAGGCAACCCCTACCTGCCCTTTGTTGTAATGTAAATTTGCCCTCAACTTTGATAGGACTTCATCACAATCACTTTTACTGCCTGCACATGAAGCTTTTAAATCACTGAAAAAGCTTCCAGTCTTTTCTTGCACTAAAGTAAAGCTAAGTAAGAAACATATGCACCTGTTGCAACTGCTTTATAGATTCTTAAAGACAAAGGAGCAGATTTCATTTGTAATCAAGGGATTGCCTGTTCTTTATTTACAGGAACTCAACTGAAAAGAGGAAAAATAACAAATGTCTTAGGTTTTCATTATGACTAGAGTTAAGGAGGAGTTTTAGAGAAAACCAAAACTCACACTTCCTTTCCATCAGCATATTTTTAAAAGTCAACTTTTACTTCTCAAATTGTACTCTAACTAGCAAACAGAATTTTTCTTAATTCCCTACTTTAAACTTTCAGAAAAAGTTTAAATGGTTTTTCTGTTTTAATTGTTGACCTTCTTAGAATTTCAGAGAAAATGCTATGGTATCCATGAAATAAATTATAGAAGGTAATTCCTAAAAGTTTAAAAACATAAACAGATTTAGTAGAAGCTTAGTTCTTACTTTATTCAAGAACAAACATGATCATTCCCACCCCCTCGGTACACAGGGTTGACAGGGATGGGCAACTGAGACGTCTATTGGCTACCCAAAATGGTGTTGGGGGTGGGGTGGGGAGGGCTACAAAGGCAAGGAGTGACTGACTGGTTTACAAACTTTCAAGAGGGAGCCTAGTTCCAGAGGGGGCTGGGGAAGGTAGAATCTCCACTGAGTGGTTTCCAACCTGTCTGGACTGGACTGATGAAAAGAGATGGGGCTAAGACTCTTATAGTTCAATAGTGAATAATTGCTATCAGGACTGACTGTGAGTGTTGCAAATGTAAAGGTAGATGTTTTGTTACAAAAGGAGGGGAGTGGTTGATTTTGCAGTCCAGCAGCAGAGGTCCCTGGGACCATCAAGGGAGAAGAGCAGAGTGCAGGACCCTATCCAGAGAAGCAGTGACGCCAGAAATGGAGGCAGAGATGATGATGTGGAGAGAGATGGGAGTGGCTGGGGACTCTAGACTCAGTGAGGGAGAGGATATGTGTGCTGATGGTCAGGGGGCAGCCTTGTTGGGTGTACCCTTTGGTCGTTTGATGATGCTTGGAGGGGACTGTAATCATTGCAATGAAACGAAATATGACAGGATGACTGTAAACTAATGTTCCCCCATGTAGACTATCACACAATTCACAATAAAAACTTAAGAAAAAAAAAAAAAGAATAAACATGATCAGGACATTGTATGGGCAGCACAGTAATCAACATTTTAACATAGAAAAGTGGTACATGTTGTTATTATAAACCTGTAACAATACATTGGTTACTTAATTCAATGGATTGACACAGCAGCAGCAAAAATGAGCTCAAATTCATTTATTTCCAGGAAACAGGCAATTTGGCATTCGTTACTGTTTCAGAACGCTAGCTAATGTGATTTGCACATTAGCAGGGGGAAATAAAGCTGATTCTGACTTCTAACTTTTATTTGTTGTCATTAGGTGCCATCGAATTGGTACCAACTCATAGTGACCGTATGCACAGCAGAACTTAACACTGCCCGATTCTGGGCCAATCTCACTATTGTTGCCATACTGTTGCCACACTTGAGTCCAATGATGCTGCCAGTTGTCCAATCCATCTCGTTGGGGGTCTTTCTCTTTTTCTCTGACCCTCCACCTTACTAAATATGATATCCTTCTCCAGTGACTGATACCTCCTGACAATAAATCTAATGAATGAGAGACTAAGGCCAGCCGGGCCTCCAAGGTGCACCCTGGCTGCACTTCTTCCAAAACTGATCTATTGGTTTTTTTGGCAGCCCATGGCACTTTAAATATTCTTCTCCAACACCGTAATTCAAAAGCATCAATTCTTCTACGGTCTTCCTTATTCACTGTCCAGCTTTCGCATGCATATGAGGTTATTGAAAATACCATGGCTTGGGTCAGGTGCCTCTCAGAGTGGTGGTGGTGGTAGTGGTTATGTGCCATGGAATCAGTTTCGACTCTTAGTGACCCTGCATAGGGTTTACAAGGCTGTAAATTTTTATGGGAGCAGAAAGCCTCATCTTTCTCCTGTGGAACAGCTGGTAGTTTCAAACTGCTGACCTTGAAGTTAACAGCTTGAATTGTAACCACAATGCTACCATAATAAACATGTCACCACCATTTCATAAATGACTGAATGTAGTTGTACATCTATTTTAAAACTTATTTATAACAAGATGTCAAAATAATACAAATAATAAAAAATTAAATTGTAGAATAGGTCATTGTGGCACTGTAGGATAAGAACTCGACAGAAAGGTCAGTTTGAACTGCAAAGTCAGTGGTTCAAACTTACCAGCAGCTCCTCGGAAACCCAAGACAGGTTCACTATGAGTAGAAACTGACTTGTTAGCACTTAACAACAACAATAACATAACTCAATACTGAAATCCTCAAAATGTTCAAACAGCATTGATAAAACCATGTTTACATTTTACTATCCCATTTTTCACTGTAATAATTTTTCTCTTTTCTATCGCAAGAGAACTCACAGTTTTTACAAGATGACTCACCAAAAATGTTGGTCTTTACAGTAAGTGCAAGATGAGTATTATTCCTCAAAATTTCAAGGGCTTTCACAATTGTAATGTTCTCAAAGTTTTGTCCATTTACTTCCATTATCTTAAGAGAAGAGTATTTTTAAAATAAAAATTAGAATAAACAATACTAGTTAATTCTACAACCTAAAAGCTTAATGGTAACACAACACACCCATGTTATTTTAGTGATTATCTCTGTGAAAAGTAGTAGTAGTATTGATAATCAGTGTTTTTGCTGTATTATTTTTTATTTCCCAAAATTTCTACCACAAGCATTTCATTAACTAATCATTTCTTGAGGAATCATATTAAAGAAGTTTGTTTTTTAAAGTAAAATAGTTTATACATGAAATGAAATATTTAATCATGTCAGATCAACTCACAAAACATTTTGCCTGTGTGTGTATGAACAAATTTTAATGAAATATTTTAAATGGAAAATTGTTTCATTTCAAACACTGGTGGGAACGTAGTAGCTCCATACAATAAGCACTGAGCTATGAACCACAAGGTTCTTCAGGAGAAAGATGAGGTTTTCTGCTCCGGTAAAGATGTAAAAGCTTTGGAAATCCTATACAGGGTTGCTAAGAGTCAGAATCAAATGGACAGCACTAACAACAACAACAAATACATTGTTGCTGTTGCTGTTAGGTGCCGTCGAGTCAATTTCAACCCATAGTGACCATGTATAGGCTTTCCAAGGAGCATGGTGAGCTTGAACCACCAACCTTGCAGTTTAAACGACTTTGCAGTCTGATGCCTTAGACCACAGCGCCACAACTGTGCTATAGGATAAGTACTAGATTGCTAACCAAAAGGTCGGTGGTTCAAATCTACGAGTCGCTTCTCAGAAACTCTGTTAAGGGTGACTATAAATCAGAACTGACTCAACAGTATTTAACAACAAATACACTAAAGAACCTCAGTGGGTACTGTAGGATAAGTACTGTACTACTAATAAAAAGGTTATTGGTTCAACTCCACCAGCAGCTGTGCAGGAAAAAGATGACGCTGTCTGTTCAGGTAAAGATTTAGTCTTGAAAATCCTATATAATTGTTGTTGTTAAGTGCTGTTGAGTTGGTTCCAACCCATAGTGACCCTGTACAAGGTTTCCGAGGCTGTAAATCTTTATGGGAGCAGAAAGCCTCATCTTTCTCCCATGGAGCGGCTGGTAGTTTCGAACTGCTCACCTTAAGGTTGGCACACCGATTCGTAATCACTATACTTCCAGAACTCCTGGTAGGGTCAGTAAAAAAGAGTACGACCCCCAGCAGGATGAATTGACACAGTGGCAGCAAAAATGGACTCAAATGTAACAACAGTTGTGAGGATGGAGCAGGACCAGGCAGTGTTTTGTTCTACTGTGACCAGGGTCACTATGAGTCAGAATTGACTCAAGAGCACCTAACAACAAGAATGACATGAATCGGAATCAACTCACTGGCAGTGGTTTTGGTTTGGTGGGTTCTAGTTACATTATTAGGGAATACTGGTGTGGCATTGTAGGGTAAACTCTCAACCGCAAGATTGGTTTGAACTGTAAGGTTAGTGGTTCAAATTTACTAGCCATTCCTTGGAAACCTTATACAGGGTTGCTAGAGTCAACCAACTTGATGGCACATAACAACAGAGACATTATAGAGGAGCATAATGGCGAAGCGTTCTGCTGCCAACCTAAAGGTCAGTGGTTCAAATCTACCAGATGTGGCAGTCTGCTTCTTTAAAGATTTGAAAACGCCATGGGGAGTTCTACTCTGTCTTGTAGGTCACAATGAGTTGGAACCCACTTGATGGCAATAGGTTTTTGTTTAGATACATTAGTATTCCGTTGCCTTCTCTCCACCCTTTCTCCTATTACTCAGTGAACTAGGAAGTCAAACAACAATAAGCACAAATTAGATAACTTGTTAATGTGAACACTGCTGATCCCAAACCAAACGTACCTGTAGCTCAGAATCATACTGGAAGTCTGTTTAAAAGACACTGACTCTGAGGAGGAACAAACAAGATGGCGGAT